TTCTGTTATGACGTAAAATTGTTTCATCAATTTACCATTCGTTGAGGTCATGGGTAAATGAAATAGCAGCTCGGTAATTGCATACACATAAAAATCAATTCTGATATTCTACATATTTTAACATTAAAGCGAAAAAAATTGTATATTTTTTTTAAATAAAAGTCAACATAAAAGAAAATATAATAAAAAATAATGTGCCATCATCTAACCTGAATAAATTCGCAAATTTCAACACAGCGTGTTCCAAAAACTCTGAAACCATAAATGAAATTTACTCAATTATAAGAAATTAATTAATTTAATTTCATTATTTCTAGTTGTCATATCTTCTGCACCTTTTTCCATATTTCTTAATTAAGCCTTAAACAGAGAATGGCAAATTTTAGCTAATCTACAGTAGGTAAATCTGTGTCTACTCTATTAAAGACCTTAAATCGCTTTAACAACAGAAGAACAGATGTATTCACTTCAATATAAATATTTTAAATACATTGTGGTATAAAAATGATAATAAGAAATTAAGTAAATTGTAGTGTGATCAAAACGATACTAATTTTCATTAAGCCTTATTTACCCACTAAGCAGCCTTCTTCTTCAGATTGAAAAAGCCAATTAACTGCCTTTGGTATTGTTTTCTAAATCCATAAAAATCTACTTGAAATATTGTTATTCAAGACCAAGGCTGAAACCAAGACCAAACGAACAAGACCCAGACTAAAACCAAGGTCAAATACAATAAAAACGAAAAATTATTACTTCCGGTGGATTTATGAGTTAAATTATTTGAAGAAACTTTAATGATTCTTTTCTTGTAACAAAACAGTTTGGGATTTTGGGATTGTTAGATTTTAACACTAAATACAAAAAGAAAGAAACTTTACTGTTGTTTGAAAGTTTTCTTTGTTCTTAAACGAATATCTTTTCGATATTTTGTACTTCTTTCAAGTACCTTGTACTATTTTCTTCGCTTATTTATGCGTTGGAGGAATGCAATGCGTAAGGGAAAATTGTCAAGTTTTCATAACTCTCGCAGCTACCCAGAGAAAATGAAAAAGGAAAATTCACCTATTATTAAAGCGATATTTACAATTTATCCTACTACCCCGTTGCTTTGCGAAAATTATAAAAATTAGAATTTGGACCCGAATTTGTAAAAATAAAATCCCAGCAGAAATAAATTTACTAGGTATTTTGGTTAATATTACAAATTAACTTGTAATAATTAAGAAAATTGAAATAATTTAAAAAAACATGTCAAAATTGACATTTTTTCAAGTTATCTGATAATTCTACGATTTCTATGGCAAATTCAGTAATTTACAATCGAAAATTGTAATTTTTGCATTGTCCTAAAAATTTAGTTTTCTCCGTGTATCGACACTAGTCTCTTTAAATTATGGCAAGCTCACATACATGACAGAAAATTTCAGCATTTGAGACAATTATTGTGTCGATAAATAGAAAAATTTGTGCTTAGAAGAATTATTAAAAAAACGTAAATATCAGATTAAATAAACAAGACCAAGACTTAACACGCAAGACCAAAACCAACGCCGAGACCATATCAGCCAGGTCAAGACCAATACCAAGACCGAATAAGCAGTACCGGGATCAATATTAAGACTAGGACAGTCTTGGTCTTGGTATAAATGTCAGTCTTGATAATAATCAGTGCTCAATATAAATAATTTGGTGAAACTAATTTGCGTTTTATTCAATTTTTCAAAAAGGATTCTTATCTACTGTGTCAGATTAGTTAAAAAGATCTGTAAAATTTTAACCAAAGCAATCGTTAGATAAGTAAAATAAACGGTAGAAACATCCAAATAATTACTATTAAACATTAGCGTATATTATTAAATGCACCCCTGCTTTAAATTAACATCAAAGTACAAAAACGAAATTGTATTTTTGATATTTTTAAAACTGTACTTTTTCCAATCAGATTAGATAAGTTAGGTGCTGCATAAATATATAAGTACAGTAGAATCCGCTTATAATGACATCGAAAGACAATGACAAACACGTCATATTAAGCGGGCGCCGTACAAAGCATAGTCTTAGAAAATAAACAACTTTCTATTTTGGTTAGTTATATTGTTAAATAGAGAGAAAAACTAAAAATTGTATATATTTATTAACAGAAAAAGAAAAAGAACGATGAATTGTAATATCAATATACATAAGAAGGGTCAGAAAAATGAGCGAAAATGTTATTATTAATCATTTGGGTCACTATATCCGGAAATGATTTTTTGAGAATCAGTCATAATAAACGATATGGTATTTTAAACGGAGTCATTATATTCAAACTTTCCTATAGAGAATTTAATATGAAAACCAAACTTAACACTGCAATTTTTTCATATTAAGCGGTTGGTCAATATAAACGGAGTCATAATAAACGAATTCCATTATAGGTACTTATAATACTACCATCTTATTATCAAAAATTTATCTGTTGATTTATTGTAAAATACTTCATAAATAGATACAAAATATTTTGTGAATCTTATAATATTAGATATCCCATAAGATGGGATAATGCAATCGTTTGTATCACATTTTAAAATCAACAACTAGTTACAATAGATTGTCTTCATTTCATAAAAACAACAAGATAATTATTCTTAACAACTGTTATCAATTACCCTTAATAAAAGAATTACTTACGTTATCTGGCCCAAATTCTTGATTAGGAGCCACCACCGCTACGGACGACATTTTTAAAATAAAACTCAAACAATCACGTTTATCGATTTAATACAATATTGTACGTTACAAGTTGTATCTGCTCACTCTACTGTCAATACAAACAAATCTTATCATCAGAAAAACTGTTTAAACTTAATTATTTTGTATAATATTAGAACAATTCTAAAAATACAACTGATTCACAGGTGCTTAAGAAACGCTCTATTTTTGTTCTTTCTTTTAGAAACTTATTTAAAATAATAAGTTTTTATTTGTTAAATTTGAATTGAGTAATCGTAAACAGGAAAAGCGCAGCAACGGAAGTGTATAAAACTGTGCAATTGTAAGCACTCAGCCGATCGAAAACTGAGTTTCTGATTCTTCTTTGTTTTCTGTTATGACGTAAAATTGTTTCATCAATTTACCATTCGTTGAGGTCATGGGTAAATGAAATAGCAGCTCGGTAATTGCATACACATAAAAATCAATTCTGATATTCTACATATTTTAACATTAAAGCGAAAAAAATTGTATATTTTTTTTAAATAAAAGTCAACATAAAAGAAAATATAATAAAAAATAATGTGCCATCATCTAACCTGAATAAATTCGCAAATTTCAACACAGCGTGTTCCAAAAACTCTGAAACCATAAATGAAATTTACTCAATTATAAGAAATTAATTAATTTAATTTCATTATTTCTAGTTGTCATATCTTCTGCACCTTTTTCCATATTTCTTAATTAAGCCTTAAACAGAGAATGGCAAATTTTAGCTAATCTACAGTAGGTAAATCTGTGTCTACTCTATTAAAGACCTTAAATCGCTTTAACAACAGAAGAACAGCATTAAAACACAATACAAAAAAAACATACCTCCTTCCTACAAAATTACGGCAAAACAAATATCAAAAACATAACTTTTACCCTTAAAAAATTAATTTAATAGTATTCCCACCCTATTTTAACATCACCCCCATCTTTTTTCAATGTTTTTTAAAATGATCAATCTCAATCCATATCTCTAGTCCCATTTATTATTCGCTTACATTTATCTAGTTCCCCCCAGAACATGCATCAATTTTTCATCTCCCCCTTTACCCTCACATAATCTGTATAATCTTACTTCCTCCTTTATCCAATGTATACACCCTCTACTTTTATTTTCCAGTCTAAATTGCTATTACATCCATATCCTTCATAATCTTCACATATATTTTGGCACACTTTTCCAAACGTATTTTCTATTTGTAAAATGCAAAATACATTTTTGCTGTTAAAAGTTTTACTGGTATCACAGATCAAACATTATATAAAATGATGAATGAAAGTTGTTCACATTGACCATTGAAGATATTAGAAGCTTACAAATTTAACTGAAGAGAGCCCAAAAAGTTCTAAACTCCTTGGAAATTGATAATCTAAAATATTGAATTGGATCGATATTGTAATACGGGTTCATGGTCCACGGAATTTTGAAGTTCCAAATTGATATCAGCGCCTGCCAAGTCAACACTTATCCTACCATCGGCAAGGAACTACGAAATTCTATGAATTACGACAAAACAGCCCGCAAAACAATATCGAATTGATATATGCCAGCTGTGTAAAACTCAAAACTACAAGATATTAGGGTTTGCTAATAAATGCATATAATCAAAAATTCTTAGAAAACGATTCGAAAAACTTCACTTATAAGATGAACCTAAAGCTAAAGAAACTATGGATTCCATTTCTTTTTCTTATTGCAAAGTGTAAAAGATGTTGATTTTACATCAATAAAATTATTTGCAACCCTATTTTGGCTCTGATCTTTCACGCTAAGCAAACTACGTATTTTGTCATCAGTGTCTTTTTTCCAATTAACACTAGTAACAAAAACAAATAAGAAAGCATATAGAAGAATTATTTGTTGCTAAGCTGAGTAAACTATAACATAAAGATAGAAAAACTATACTTCGATCACTTCAAACAGAAGAATATGAATCATATTTAATCTTCGCAGCTGGTGATATAGTGCAAACATCACTATTAGTCTAGAAAAACACCAATATTTAAAAAATGAGCAAATGTCTGCAAGGTTTTCTTAAAAAAAATATATGTTTAAGTAAATGTAGAAAATTAAATAGATAGGTAGGTTAAAAATATTTATTTGAAAAAAAGTATTTTGCATTTAGCATTTAGAATACAAATGGGAAATCTATTTCGTATTTTATATTTGAAATAACAAATAAAGCATTTGCACTTTGTATTTAAATACTTTTAAAAAAACATTTTGCACATCTCTGATGAATCTCATAATCTCTAGCAGTGGACGTTGATTTGTCATTTAAATGTCTAAATTTTTGTACTTCATGATACATTCTGAAACTAAATAATAATCAACGACATGAGGCAGTATTCAAAACGTTATGGTTCTCTTAATTTTGATCATATCTTAGAAGACAATTTAGCGATTAATAAAAATTTTAGAGGATTTTATACAGCCAAGAAAACAGACAATAAGCTGGGATGTTTGGATGTTCCTAAAAATATTTTTTTGGAATCAGATGATGATAGCGTTTCTAATACCAAACTAGCAATTTGTCAAAGAAATTCTGAACCTTTTGATGACCAAAACATTTTTGATGATTTTTGGGACTACGAGTATAAAAATTCACCATGTAAAATGATAATGAATGGTGATAATTACGAAATTAATTCGGATTTTGATCAACTTAAAACGTTATTTATTAGACAAGAAAGTATTACAGAAAAAATAAAATGTAGAAAACGCTTATTAAAAAAGTTGTCAAATGGAGAATATGGTAAAGGTTGTAATGATAACACAAGGTAGAAATAGCAATACAATTTTGGATTTTGTTATTAAAACATTTGATTTTTATTAGCCTATTTAAAAATCAACTGAATCGATCGTCGTTACCAGTTATACAAAATGTTCGTGAACATCTAGTGCCTATTTATCTTGAAAAATCGTGCAGTTCTACCACTGTTGGTGATAGCAGGAGGTAGCGATTAAATTTTTTTTTCGTGTTATTTAATGAAATAGAATAAGGTTTATAAATTTAAGTAGTATTTGTACCCTTTTACAAAAAACGTTGCTTTACCAGTCTATCTCTTCATTTCTTAGAAAGCCTACATTCTCTTTTTTTTCTTTTTGACCTCCACAGCATCCCCAGTTCTCCCATTTTTTCTAATATCTCCTTTAGAGTAATATACTTACTTATTATTTACCGTAATTAGTGAACAAAATATTTCGCGAAAATTAAGGTTTACATACATGCATGCAATTTTTTAGTGAAGATGTTGATGAAGAAAAATCATTTCAGTTTATTGAAGACTTCCTGTTACAAAATAATAAGAAAATGATAGAATTTATGGTTTCTAGTGGTAGTAAATGTAAAAGGAGTAGACTTGACGATTTTCCTAATTTAAAAATGAATTCGTGGAAGATAGCCGATCAACAAGTTAACCTTGATAAAAAGGTAAAATCTCTTGAATTCTGTTATGGTACTTGTCTTCCATCTTTATCAGGGCCAGACAAAGGTGGGGGGGAGTTAGAGTGCTACGAATACTACGCATCGGACCCCCGCAACACAACCAAGAACTAAAGTGAAGTACCTACTCTTNAAATGTCTGCAAGGTTTTCTTAAAAAAAATATATGTTTAAGTAAATGTAGAAAATTAAATAGATAGGTAGGTTAAAAATATTTATTTGAAAAAAAGTATTTTGCATTTAGCATTTAGAATACAAAAGGGAAATCTATTTTGTATTTATCATTTGAAATCACAAATTAAAAAAGTATTTGCATTTTGTAATTAAACACTTTTAATAAACCATTTTGCACATCTCTAATTATTATATAAAGTAATACCAAAGGAACTCGTTTCTGCCCACCATAAACGTTTTAAAAAAGGGGACTATTATCTACGGGATATGTAATGTCAATGAGACTAGCTCTTCGACAGTCCTGAAGCAGGGAGTACTTGAATCATCTCAGAGTTATATCTCCAGTTTTTAATAGAATCATTATCGTATCAATAAACTTTCTTTCCTTAAACGTTGAACAATTGAAATGGCCCAATTTATGGGAACAAATTAAGAAACTAGTATTCTAAATAGTACAATTGACTTTATTTTGAATTTGTTAATAATCAAAGATTTTTATGACAACCGTGACCAGGGGCGCAACAACGTTACAGTTGGGTGCTCTTATCATAATACATTAAATGACTAAAAAAAAGGTCACCAATCGAGTTCGGCTCATTTACGAGCTTGAACTATTTGAACCGAACTTTCAAGTTGGGTTATTAACTGAATCGACTGGAATTGACTGGGTGCCCAACCCAATCGAGTGGGACCCCCCCTTGTTGCGCCCCTGACCGTAACAATGTCCTAAAATTTGGATACTCGCTTACATTTTATAAAGGCATTTTCGTAAGTGATCCAATACGGGAACCTTTGCTATAGCCACATTCTAATCATACTTTTCTCCTATAAAGACAGACGTCTTGGTAAAGGTGTAAATGATGGCCCCCATGGGGGTAGGGTGGATCAAAATGGGAGGTCTCATCCACCACTGTACCATAAAAAGTTCGTGGCGGTCTCACCTCAATAAAAAGTTATGGGGGTTCAAAGTTAATAAATATGCCAATTTTTATACATTTCTAGGCATGTAAATATTTATATAGTCATTCTTAAACAATATTCAAAGGTAAAACTAATGAAAAATACATAAAAATATTGAGAAAGTTATATAAA